TCAGAGAGGTTCATCATCTCTTACTGCGTTTGGAGAAACAGTCATGCTTGAAGCTGCGTGAGGCCATGAAAGAAATTATCGAAGCTAAAGCCACCAAATTTGCAGAAACTAATCTGTGTAGTTGTGCCAAATGCCAGTTCTTTGCTTAACGGCCCCTACCTTTCAGTCCTTCTAGACCTGATGTCAGGTATAGTAATGAACATGTGTTAACAGGCTTCAGGCTCCAAGCCATCATCTCACTGCCAGACTTCAAACCTGCCCATAAGGACCTTGCATCTCAGAGAAGGAGCCTCTATTTCTATTTTCAAATCCTAAGCACCTGACTCTGAGCAAATGCGTTTTGGTTTCATATAGCATAGGTTGGGATGGTTCCTTGTTCATAAATTATGATGAGAACAATGCATGTTAACATGCTTACATCCGTGGACCGATTATGCAACAAAGGGATTGAGGACAGAAAACGTTCCAAGGTTCTGCTCATGTGTAGACATATATTTTCATGACAATAGAGTTGCTTGGGAAAGTATTCTTCCAGCATATGAGAAACCAGCTGCCAAAGTCAGAAAGTACTGTGAAGCTAAAACCCAAAATGAGTAGATCTAAAATGGAGTGAAATTTATTCAAGATTTTCAAACAGAAGTTTGAATTTTGCAGCAAGGTCTTGAACCCCCAGGCACAATAAAGGGGCTTATAAACTAATCTATGCACAGGAACTCAAAGTTCATCAGAATGTAACCAAATGTCAGTTTAGAAATAGTAGGTATGCTGACAGCACAATGTACCCAGTTGTCTTAGCAACTCTGTCTGTCCTTTATGGTTTGGGATGTCTGTCAGAGTCACTTGGCAGGCTGGAAGGCATGGTGTCAAGCTCTATCTCTGCAGGGCTAAAAAAAATTCAACTCATCAAGCTACCTATATGACAAAACCAACTGTAACCTTTTCTTTTCTGTTCTGTTTTGTTGTTCTTCTGTTTTCTTTTCTATTTATTCTTCTCTCATACAATAAATCTGAACCTCCACTTTCTCTCCCTCCACTCCTCACAGATCCACCCCCAACCTCAGCTCTCCCTAGATCTTTTCCCTTCAGAAAATAGCACATCTCCCAGGGATATCAATCAAAAAGGCATAACGAGATACAATAAGACTAAGCACAAACCCTCACATCAAGGCTAAGTGAGGAAATCTCGTAGGAAGAAAAGGGTCCCACGACCAAGCAAAAGAGTCAAAGATATCCCCACTCTCACTATTAGGAGTGCCACAAAACCATGTTGCTAACAACTTTAATATATATGAGGAGGACCTAGAGCAAACACATGCAGTTTCGCTGAACAACTACAACCTTTTTAAAGACAGCATTTCAAAAGAAAAAGATGTACAATGTAACAACAGTGATGATATGAATATAAGCTGACCCCATAGGCTCATATGTTGGAATACTTGGGTCTCCATATGGTGAAACTGTTTGGAAAGGATTGGGAGATGTGGCCTTGTTGGAGGTATGGGGCTTGAGTGTTTAAATACTCCAATCATTCCCAGTGTTCTCTCTTTGCCTTCTGCTTGGGGATTCATATATGAGCTGTCAGCTGCAGTTTCAGCTGCCTGATATTATGACTTCACTTCATTATCAAAGACTCTAACCCTCAGTAACCATAAGTTTAATTAAATCTGTCTTGTACGAGTTGCCTTGGTTATGGTGTTTCAACACAGAAATAGAAAAATAACTAATAGAGTAACTAAGAACAAACTTACCTAACTTAATCTTCAGTGGGTGGGTGTGCTTTTAGGGACCTAGTTTCTCTAAGCACACAACTTAGCTCACCTACTCCAGGCGTGGTTTAAGGTATTTTCTCTGCACTGGACGAATAAACCAACCATCATGGTGGCTTAGTGCTCTCAATTCCATATATTGTCATGGTAGAGCTATAGTGATTGCCTGTTGGTTTGAGAAGACAGAAACCCCACATCATGAAATGTTCATGAAAAAAAAGAGAAAAGGCTAATGGTGTGGGAATTCCTTCTGTATTTATTGCTTTTATTGGTTAATTAATAAAGAAGCTGCTTTCAGCCAATGGCTTAACAGAACATAGCCAGGCCGGAAAGGATATATAGGTGGAGTCAGGAGAAGCCATGTAGCTGCCACTGGAGAAAGATGTGCTGGAATCTTACCAGTAAGCCACAGTCACATGGTGATACACAGGTTAATAGAAATGGGTTAATTTAAGGTGTAAGAACTAGCCAGTTAGAAGCTAGAGCTAATAGGCCAAACAGTGATTTAATTAATACAATTTCTGCGTGATTATTTTGGTTCTGGGCAGCTGCGAATGAACAAGCAGCCTCTGCCTACAAGCTAATGAATCATATAAGATATTTTGAGCAACGGTCTTTGGAAAATGTTAAGATACTTTCAAAAATCTATTTTTAATTGACATTTTCTGGGAGAGGAAAAGGACCCCATTCTCAGAAATAGTTGGCTAACACAAGCTGGAGACTCCATTTTCATTATTGTTGTTTTTGTGCTTTCAAAATATTATTTTTTTTGCTTTGCTTTTAAGAGGTTGAAAGAACAAGAAGTTGAAGGCGAATCTGGGAAGGATTTAGGAAAGACTATTACCAAAATACATTGTATGGAAATTCTAAAACTTAAAATTAAAAAAAGAAAATTTAAAATATTAGTGGGTTTTAATTTAAAGAAAGAGTAATTCTTTTTTAGTAAGAAAGGCTATAAAATAAGGCTGCAAACTATACTGCCTTCTAGAGATAAATGCATTTCAAAAGCCCAAATTAAAACAGTATTGAAGCTTCACATTTGGATTATATAAATCCTGTGTTTGAGCTGATGACGAATTAGGCTTCTCTGGAGGTGGAGAATGAATAAGATACACACACACACACACACACACACACACACACACACACACACACACGTTTATTGGATTACCTAACCAGGAGTGTCTGTGGAGGAGTAACAAGGGCTGCATGCATTCAGGAAAACAAGAATTTAGTAGCTTCCCAATCCGCGAAGTCAGAAGCCTCAGAACACAAGTAACCATCTTACATCCCAGCCCAAGTTGGAGTCTTGGAGGAAGCTCTGTGGAGTTTTTCTGTCTTTTCCCCTAGACAATCAAAGCAATTATTAACTGGTCTGTTTGAAATGACTGAGCAAGCACACCTGAGTGAATCTTCAGGCATCATAATCATCCTTTTCACTAATAAACATGCTAACCTGATCTTACCATCACATAATATATACCTGTATTAAAATGTCATATGATAAATAATTTATATGTTTTGTTCTATGACCTTATAGGTCAGTTAAATTTTTAAAAAGTTAAACAGTAGAAACTGGTGACCTAAATGCATTCATATTACTTTTTTCTACAGAAATCTTGACTGTTGAATTTTTGTAAGTATTGTATACATGAACAGTATATTACCTTGTATTTAAATGACACAAAGTGAATACAGGAAGATGGAAATTTTCTGAGGACACTGGCACACACCTTTCCTGTTTCTCAGCAACAGGAAGCCTGCGGCTGATAGATCTTGATTTTTAAGGTCAACCTGGTCTGCATGCTAAAATCCCCTTAAAAACAAAGGTGGTAGGAGGGAAGAAAAGTAGAGAAGGAAGAGAGATGGTGAGGGAAAAGGGAAAGAGAGAGAGATTGATGTACTGATTATTCATATAGTTATCCAAATAAACCTCCTCTGGCATCTCTTACAACGGAAAGCTGTTATTGAATAAAAAACATTCACTTAGCAATAGAATAGCCTGGGCAAATGTTCTTTAAAAGTACAACCATGTGAAGGCACTGGAGGCACGGAGAGCTGATGGAAACTGGTGGAGAGCTGAGACTGCAGGAGGGACTCTCCCAGTCTATTCCTGTGATTTTAACTTTCTGCCTGAAGACAATGGCAGGCTTGGTGGTAGGAGCAGTGGGTAACCATATACCCAAGAAACTAAACAAAACAATGACCTCTCTGCAGATTTTCCAGCTGCAAGGGATCAGAAAATACAGTGAAGGGCTAAAGAAGGGGTGCAAACAGATGAAAGGACTATGATGGAGAGGCACTAAGTTATTAGCCCGAATTAATAATGTCTTACAATTTTGAAGTCAGAGACGGGTGATGAGCACTATGTCAGGCAAATAGACCAATCAAAAAAAGGATTGCTTGTTGCACGGAGGACTGCTTGTTGATTCCTGGCTGCCTGGCTAGCTTAGACCCAAAATAATCACACAGAAACTGTATTAATTAAATCATTGCTTGACTCATTAGCTCTATCTTCTTATTGGCTAACTCTTACATATTAATTTAACCCATCTCCATCAATCTGTGTATCTCTCTCTCCGCCTTCCTTCTCTCAGCATTCAGTCCAGTTTCCCCCGCCTACCTATGTTCTGCCTATCAACAGGCCAATTCAGTTTCTTTATTCATTAACCAATAAAATCTACACATAGACAGACAGACCTCCCACACCGGCTAATATATTGTGGGTTCTGTTTATCACATATCAGCCAGCCAACTGTCAATACTGAAGAGCATTTAAGTATGTATATACATATTTACAGTAGACCAGGATAAGATATAATCTGTACTTTTAAGTGTTGTTATAATTTAAAATAGAGATTTCAATATCTAATTATGTAGTTTAGTGGATACTCCAGTGTGTAAATGTTCTTGCTAATACTGCCTAGGAAAGGGAATCTTTCAGGCTTCAAAAGCCTCCTATCTATAACAACATAGCGACCTGCTAGTCATGGCTCTTTTTGAATTCCGTAGTAACCAAACATTGTATTTATATTCCAGTTTATTATACATCTCTTTTTTCTTTTATTTATATATTTTCCAATCTGTAACAACATAGCTACCTGCTAGTCATGGCTCTTTTTGAATTCTGTAGTAACCAATCATTGTATTTATATTAGTTTATTACACATCTCTTTTTTATTTATACATTCTCCATTCAACCATCATTTTAAAATTATTTTCATTTATTTATAGGTGTGTATGTCTGAGAGTATTACCCATTGTGCGTGTACCTGTGGAAACTGTAAGAAGACATTGGATCTCCCAGGAACTGGACTTAGATAGCTGTGAACTGTCATGTGATTGGTAGGAACTGAACTCTAATCCTCTGAAAGAGTACCAAGTGCTGTTAAACACTGAGCCATCTTTCCAGGTTCCTTTCAACCACTGTCCTTAAACTCTATGTGTGAAACAACCCAGTGTTGGGAGCTGTGAACCCCAGATCATGAGTTTCTTGTAAACAACTTGTTTTCTCCTGATCTGAGTGCCTACAGCTGCTCTGAGCACGAGACCCTCAGGAGTTCCTGATGGCAGGGTAATGGTTTCTGGTGTGTTTGGCTAAGGCATTGCTATCCCTATATAAGATGCCCTTGAACACAATAAAGGCGGCATTTTGGTGGCATTTTGGTATCATGGATGACCCGTGTCTCTGTCTGTGAGTCATTGTGTGTTTCAATCTCCAGCCCCTTGCCCAGTTCATGAACTGTATGGTGGCACATAGAGCACAGATGGGCGTCATGCGCCGCAACCCAGGGTATTTAATCTATGAACTTTTACAATGGCATAGCTCCTGAATCCCCTAAAAACAAGAAGCTGGACTCATAGTCTCGGCTAACTTATTTTTTTATCAGTGTATGTATAATATATGATGACTCCCCATTTATTCATTTTTGACATTAGTTGTTGATTTCTAATGCCTGGATTAATTTTTTTCTTTTGAGTTTGCTAAGTAATATTATACTAACTGTCTAATACAAAGCTGGGAAATAAATGTGTTAGCTTGAAAGGCCATTTCAAATCTGGAAAAAATAAGATCAGAAAGTGACCATTAATGGCAGAAACCCAAGAAAACATACAATACTAGAAACGGTGGAATGGTAATCAGAGAATGAAGAAGAGACTACAATACTGTCTTAGGGTTTTTATTGCTGTGAGGAGACACCATGACCATGGCAACCTTTATAAAGAAAGCATTTAATTTGGGGGGCTCGATTATAGCGTTAGAGGGTCAGTCCATTGTCATCATGAGGGCAAGCAGAGTGGCATGCAGATGCAGGTAAAGGTTGTGCTAGGTCTGAGAGTGCTACGTCTTGAAGGGCAACAGGAAATCAACTCAGGCGTTGGGCAGGATTCTCAACATAGGAAACCTCAAACCCTGCCCTACAGTGGCACACTTCCTCCAACAAGACTACACCCACTCCAACAAAGTCACACCTCCTAACAGTACCACTCCCTATGAGATTGGGGGGGGGGATTACATTCAAACTACCACAAATAGTTTCAGTATTTATATTTAATTTCAAATTTTGTAAAACCGAAAAGCCAATGTGGAACTCAAACTCTCAGATAAAAAGCTGTTGTCCTGCAGGGTGGAAGTACCAGAACTATGGTGCCTGGGCTCTCTTCTCCAACAGTTACTGATGCTCTAACATGTTTCTATGTTATCAGCTCATAAAATAGTTACTGCTATACATTTAACTTTGAAAAAGACCTATTTTATTATTTTTAAATTACATACACACGTGTGTGTGTGTGTGTGTGTGTATGTGTGTGTGTGTGTGTATGCGCACATTAGTGCAGGTGCTCACAGAATTCAGAAGAGGACAATGATACCCTGGAGCTGGAGTTACAGGCAATTGTGAGCATCCCAATGTAAGTGCTGGGAATTGAACTCAGGTCCACTCCAAGAACAGCCAGTGTTCTTGCCAGGCGCCTTTAATCCCAGCACTCAGGAGGCAGTGGCAGGCAGATCTCTGTGAGTTTGAGGCCAGCTTGGTCTACAAGAGCTAGTTCCAGGACAGGCTCCAAAGCTACAAAGAACCCTGTCTGGAAACCCCCCCCAAAAAAACAACAGCCAGTGTTCTTAACCCTTGAGACATCTCTCCAGCCCCCCACTTAATCATTGCCTCTAAGAAAATATTTAATGCTTCCTCATAATTAATTTCCTTATTAATGAGTTAATGAAAATAATTCTAGAATCAGAAATTTTATCAACTGCAATTTTAATTTGTTTCATACATTTATGGTGAAAATCCCTTCACTGCTAGAGAGGATGTTGAGTTTATTTGTAATAAGAGAGTTACAACCTATACAGCAGATTCTCTCTGTTCTGTTACTGAGTGGAGGACCTGAACAGCACTTTGATTTGCATGTTTAGATTTGCATCTTTAAGTTAAGATTGGGGCAAACAGAATAATAAGAATCGCTTGTAGTTAAACTTTTAGGTTAGATTAGTATTTGTGATTCATTTTCTGTACTAGGTAACTTGGATATTCTTTCAACATATATACTGTACATACAATAATTATGCTATGTGTTTTCTTATGGGAGCAAAGAATAATTTGCCTCTCTACCATAACTGTAGAAAAATTATAAGAATAACTAATTGGAAAACACGTTGGTTGGGATTCTTTGAACCTGAAGCATTTCCCTCTGGCATGTTCAGCTATGTCGGTGAAGTGCAAGGTTGCATGTGCTCCGACGCCTTCTCTTGTTTGTCTCGGTCTCTGCTGCCACTCAGTCACGATCAGTGCTCCACTCTGCCCTCATCCTCAGCCTCAGCCCAGGTGCTCTCCAATGGGCTCCAGCTTCAATCCGCAAGTTTAGGAGTTCAGCCACCAACACCAACATATAGCCTTCTGGCTGTGGAAGGCAGGGTCACCAGCCTACCATCTTTTCATTCAAAGTTCTGAGACTCGTGAAGTAGTTGTGCCAAGATGAAACTTAGTGTTGTGTGGCACGAATTCTAATTGTTCTTAATAATAAAAACCCAGAATCAGATATACTAGTAAATGCTGAAAGATCAGAGAGACAAAGGAGCCAGTCACAGCTATTTCTAACTTCACCAACTCTCAGCCTAAAAGGGGGTAAGCTCTTGTCTCCACGTGCCTTATATCCCCCTTTCTACCCAGCCATATCATTCCTGTTTCCTCCTCCCTAGTGCTGAGATTAAAGGTGTGTGCTTCTCAAGTACTGGAATCAAAGGCTTGAGATCCCAAGTGCTGGGTAAAGTTGTGTACCACCACATCTGGCCTCTCTGGTTAACTACTGACTAGCCCTGCACTCTGATCTTAGAACACAGATAAAATATCAGCACATAGTATCATGTTTACAAAATTTTAAAGCCAATGATCTCTTGCTTTCAAGCACTTAATTCTCTATTTAGCACATCTTTTACTCATTTCAGAAAAAGGCATTTGAAAAACATACGTGTTGTTCAGACACCTCGATGATACTGAAATTCTTTTTATTATTAAGGTTAGTCTGAAGTCATTAAGTAAACATGCTTACCTGTTAAGTCATCTTGCAGCCATTTGATAAGACTTTTGGTGGTGATATGAAATCTGTAATTTTAACTGGTTAAAATATACGTATTTTATGTAGTAAACATTCAGTTTCAACACTAGTTCTAAACACCAATTTAAATTAAATATAATTTAAAGGACATCTGCTGTCTTTTGCTTTTATCCTAGTATCTTCCTTTTATTAGTCACATTGTCTACAAAGCACATCATTTTTAATTTTGATAATATAATATTCAATTTTATTATCACTGGCATGGGAATGATAATACTTGGTTATTAAATGATGTTATATATGTAAGACATCTGGGTTAGAGCAGATGCATTCATTAGTGGTTGGAAAGTAGTGACAGATGCTGGAAATACATGGTATTTAAATGGCAGTACAAGGTTAACCTGAAACATTCAATTTCACCCGACAATCAGAACTAGCAGAAATCAGATGAAAAAAAAAATGCACCTTCATGAGCTGGGTACAAAGAAATCCTTCCAGAATTTTATTACTGTTACAATGTAGCAAATAGGCTATATTAGAAAAGCACTATTGAATAAATCAGACATGCCCTTTTAGGTGTAAAATTATGTCCTTTCAAGTTTCACTAAAGGGATAGGCTTCAGAAAGTGTGGTCCATATTGTATGTTTTAAACATCTAACTTACATTTTCCTGTAGCAATTGCATTGTGAAATTTTGCCTGAAATTTGAGAGCAATTCGATAAACTTAAAGTAGCATTTTGAAGAAGGCACTTGTTTAATCCCTCAATTGCTATTGTTTTCCTTTATTTTATTTTATTTTATTTTTTTTTGAGTTCTAGGATTCTCTAGTTTATTTTGTGAGGGTGATTCCAGAGAGGTGTGACCAAGTAGAGAAGATTGTCCCTAGATGTGGGAGGCAACATGGGGAGAACCCTTGTCTTAGACTAAATAAAAAGGGAAGAAGTATAAAGTAGGCTGAGCACGGGCTTCTCTGTGGGGGAGGGTGTGCTGGCAGGAACTCAGGAGTGCCACAGAAACAGAACAGGGGTAGGCTAGTTAGAAGCACTATTCGGTCACTTCACCAAGGAATGCCAAGCACATTAAAACACAACGATCCTGAAAATCTTTACCTGTTCTGGTTTTATTGTTGCCTTCACAAGACTAACGTAAGAAAACGGAAATCTATCTTGTCCTAGCAGAACGGTGTTAAATATGGTGGTGAGGATTTCTATATGTCAGATCTCCCCACTGATACCCTAACTTGGAACATGCCCTTTGGTGACAGAAAAGAAGAGAATTGGTTCTGTCACACATTCTTTGTGGCTTACAAGGAACAGCTCTCTGCCTGAGAGTACACAATTAAGGACTCTAGCACAATGGAACATGCTGATGCCACTTCAAAATTAGAGCCAAATCCACATCTTTTGAATGAACCTAATGAGCCAGTTACCTAGTCATCTGCTGGCAACAGGTAGAAAATTGACTCACATCGTGACTTTCCACTGCCCTTCCTTTAATACTTTCTATGATCAGCATGCATTAAATGGTGTTCAGTGGGGTCAATGTCTGATGCAGGTGCCATAAAAACCACATAGAGGGCTAGACGAGGGAGGTATGTAAAGATGAGGCTCATGACTTGACCTCATCATTTTCCAGGACAAGCGAAGGTTTTTTAATACAACAATATCTAACTGCAAATGAGAATTACCATATAAGATGTTCACAGCAAGGCTTGGCAGAATTCAGTTAAAAGCAA